GGGCCTTCCTTTAGTAGGTCAGCAGGTGAGAAAGCAAAATGAGAATTTCTTAGTTATCCAGAATCATGTACTCAGGCACACATGAACCTGTGCATGCATATGCGCGTGTGCATGCACACATACACAGACATACCCAGTTGATATCAACTCTCAGTTTCAGTACAATTTGAGGCCTGGGGGTGTTACTCATTGGTATAAATCTTGCCTAGTGAGCTTGAGGCCCTGGGTTCAATTCCTGACACTACAAAACAAAGACCAAAACCTACAAAACAACCATAAAGTTTCAGTGCAGTTTAGAGATTCATTCACAGAATAAAACCATTTTCGCACATGCAACATAATTTTTACTGACCTCTCCGCTGCCCAAATGGGAATCAAGCTTCACTTTTCTGTGGGAGCTGTGTCAATCACCTCCTTTTCTCGTCTCCTTACAAGGCAATGAGCCTCACCTGAGCAAAAAACAGTCTTTATAGAGCTCTCTGTTGATTGATGGCTGCACTGAGGACCTGGAATAGCTTTAAAATAACTCCCTTCTCTGTACTTTGAGCCAAATCACATTCCCAGGCAGACATAGCCAGAAGGGAAAAAGGAAATAGGAAAATATATGATCTACTCGTCTAAGAACCTCCTCCTATGAGTAAGTGTGAGGTGAAGATAGGGGTAATATGCTTGTCTGGGGGTGAAGGGAGTAATAAAAGTTCATAATTTGAATTGCTAACTATGGTTAATGTTGAGTAGTAGGGTTTGGGATGGTTTCATTTTTATTCTATATCATTTCCTGAATTTTCTAGAGTGAATTTATATTGCTTTTACAAACAGGAAAAAGAACAACTGCTATTAGAAAACATTTAGTATGTTAAGATTACCATCCTAACTAGATTATACAAACTCCCCTGAGGGGTCAGTTTTGTGTTCCTGTGTGGAGAAGGGATTCCCATACCTATAGTTTAGAATTCATGGTAGGCACTTGGTAAATCCCTTACTAACAGACATTAATTTGGATCTTTTCCAGAGCTAGTCCTGATTAAGGTCACTAGTCAAGAGATCTTTGTTTTGCCTGGGCCAGGATAACCCTCAGGGAACTAACTGGGAAGCAGATCTATGGGCTGGACATGTATTGCCCTATGTTGAGCTTATAGGCACATCATTGTTTCCAGTGGGCACACAGCCCCACAGCATGGTACTCTGGATTGTAGTTTGTTATTTGCCTTTTTTTTTTTTTTTTTTCAAGACAAGGTCTCCTGCATTGCCTGGGCTGACTCAGAACTCCTGGGCTCAAATGATCCTCCCACCTGAGTCTCCCAAGCAATTGAGAGACTACAGGTATGGGCTTCTGTGCCCTGCTATGTTTGGCATTATTTTAAGCTTTGATTGGTGTTTACTGGTTTACAACAGGGTTGCCAATCACAGATTTAATATTGAATAGTGTGAATATCACCCATCAGCTTGAATTTCTTTCATATATGAAGCCTCTTCTGACTTCCTTTACCTAGACATAAGGTTTCCTTCTTTTTAGTTTGATTGTACATAATTTTTACCTCTGCATCAATCATCACTTTCTAAATTGATACTATACTTACCTATGTATGTATCTTATCTCCTTTCCTAGACTGTTTCCTGAGATCCAGATCTATTCTTCAGTTACTTTGTCTTATAATAAGATAACAGCTACCATTGATCAAGTAGTTACTCAAGTACCAAGCTCTTTACACAGACAATTCTATTTAAAACAAATCCTTCCCATGAAACAAGCATTTTTATCTTCATTTTACTGAAAATTATGGTTTTCATTTTCAGTTTTTTATTGAAAAACCTGAGGACAAGTATAAAGTCACTTGGCCACTAAGTAATAAAGTCTTTTTTCTTTTTCTTTGTGGTACTGGGGATTAAACCAAGAGACCCTCTACCACTGAGCCATATCCTAGCCTTTTTAATCTTATTTTGAGACAGGGTCTTTCTAAGTTGTGGAGGCTGGTCTCAAACTTTTGATGCTCCTGTCTCATCCTCTTGAGTCACTGGGATTTTAGGTGTGTGCAATTGTGCCCATCAAGTCTATGCTCTCAACTACTGGGCCCTCAAATCCTTCCATAATGCTTCCTGCATACTCTAAGCAATAAAGATGCTGTAAACATCTCTTTAATGGATTCATGAATCAGCTGGTGATACAAGAATTTTGTAGACCATCCCACTTCAGATATCTCTTTGAACCTCATAGCATTTGAACAGTTAAGGCTGTAAAAGATTCAGGAGTAAAATCAGTATGACCATTATCAAATCAAGTTCTACCAAGACTAACATTAGCAACATTATAATTAACCTAAGACACCACTTCACAATCCCATAAAGACCAGGCTGAGTCTCACTTCCTATGGAGGAGAGGTTCCACATCGCAAGGAATTAGATTACATAACTCTTTGAACCTTGGTGTTTGTGTTAGGGGCAGAGGGCAGATGTACATACTTTGTGTGGTTATTATGTGATTTAATGAGATACTGTGAAGGACCTAGGTCAGTGCTTGGTACCCAATAGGAACTTGCCATTCTCTGGTGAGAAGGAATTACCCTCATTCCCACCTTGCAGCTAAGTTGAAAGAAGACAAAGCCAAGAGGAAAGATGAATGTATGACAGGTGGCACTACAAGAGAGGTTAGTCAACTTCCCTGTGGTGAAGTGGTTGTGAATCAGAGGTGTCAAGTCCACTCCCAGAATTCCACAAAGCAGCTTCCAGACTTGCAAGAAAATTGTCAGGAGAGGGATAAATGAGAAACCTCATAGAAGGAGAAAGTAGTTATTCCTCACAGAGTGAAATTGGGTCTTAGAATCCCTTCTCTGTAATGAATATTTTATTGGACAGGATTGGGTTAGTTTAAGGGTATTCAAAGATCTACAAATCTCCCTGGGTCATCTGTACTTAAATAAGGAATGGGAAGATAAATTGCAGGCACCTGCCAGTCTGATCATCCCACTCAACATAACCAACCCGGAAAAATTCCTCTCTCATTCCAGAAACTGCTCGTCCATCTCCTGCACATCTGTCTGGAAAAAGGCAGACCAGTTCTCATTTTTCCCAAGCAGTAGGAAAAAGTCAATTTTAACAAAGTTTCAAGTTTGTTCTAAGAATCTGGACAGTTACTTAAGAGATGTTTCAACAACCTGTGTCTTAAGTAAGGCTCTTCAGAAAGAGAACTCTAGACAAGAGATGTGCATGCAAAATTGTTTTTTTTAAATTAATTAATTAATGTATTTATTTTTATGAGGAGCTTAGAGTGGCTACACCTGTAGGGAATAAGGGACTCAGAAGGAAGAAATTAAACTATAGTTAGGGTTCCTGCCCATTGTGTGGAGCTCTGAAAGGCAGTGCACATTTGCCCGCAGTGAGGCAAAGTGCAGGCCTTTTATATTCCCTAGTGACCAGTCATTTGATGTTGGTTGCCCCCAGGGAAGGGGTATAACCTTGTGCAGGGTAGCTCCCTTGCTGAAGCCATTCCCAGAGAGGTGTTGCAGCTGTGAGAATCCCAGTATTTCCAATAACCTGCTGGGTAGCAGTGAGTCATGTTTAAAGTTTGAAATCTAAGAGAAATTTTGTTGCTCTCCAGAGGGTAGTAAGAGGGGAGTAATGGGAAGAAGATGGAAGAACCTCATCTAGAAGCTGAAATTAGGAAAGGGGAGGGGAAAGGGATGTATTGGTAACTTTCTGCATTAGACATGGGCAGAGCAAGGGCTGAATGACCCTAGAGCAGAGGGCAGCCATGGTGGTAATAATTTTTTATTTATTTTTATTTATTTATTTATTTATTTTTATTTATTTTTTAGTTGTAGTTGGACACAGTACCTTTATTTTATTTATTTATTTTTATGTGACGCTGAGGATCGAACCCAGGTTCTCACATGTGCTAGGTGAGCACTCTACCTCTGAGCCACAATCCCAGCCCTGGTGGAATAGTTAATAGAGAAATCTGTGTGTCTCTTTTGGAGTATAGAAAGTAGGTAGGGGGAATAAGAGTGATCCAGTAGCCTGGAGTCATCCACTGCACAGTGTAGAAACTTAGTAAATTTTTTTTCCTCCTGGTGCTGGCGATAGAACCCAGGGCCTCATGCATGTTAGGCAGATGCTCTACCACTGAGCTACATCCCAAACCCCAACTCTAAAAATGTCTTTTTAAATTGAATTGCATGGCATTGGCTCAGGGATCCTGACTGGGAGATTCATTGACTCTCTTTGAAGAAAGTAGGCAAATTTTCTTTTTTTGGTACTGGGGATTGAACCCAAGGATGTTTAATCACTGAGCCACATCTCCAGGCTTTTTTATTTCTTATTTTGAGACAGGGTCTTCCTAGGTTGCTTACAGGATCACTAAATTGCTGAGCCTGGCTTTGAATCTACAATCTTCCTTCCTCAGCCTCTGGAGCCACTAGGATTACAGGCATGCACCACCACACCTGGCCTCATAGGCAAAATTTTCTTGAATACAAGCACAAATATGCCCACCTTGATTTAATCCTACAGGAGTCTAAAAGTTTTACTTTGTCAAGTCCTTGGATGAAAAGAAGATAAAAGTTTATTAGGGGGCTGAGGTTGTAGCTCAGTGGTAGAACACTCGCCCAGCTTGTGTGAGGCACTGGGTTTGATCCCTAGCACCACATAAAAATAAATAAAATAAAGATATTATGTCCATCAACAACTATTTTTTTTAAAAAGTTTATTAGACCTTGGCAAAAAAAAACAAACACAAAAACCTCAAACAACAATGTCAACCTCACACCATGGTTTCTTCTGTGGTGGATTCCTATACACCTATAGCACTTTCATTGTATATATCACAGAATCTGTTTTATATTAAATAACTTTTTAATTTTGTTTATTTTTAAGTTGGGGTCTGGGGCTGGGTGTGTAGTTCAGTTGTAAAGCATGTGTTTAGCAGGTACAAGTCCCTGGGTTTGATCCCTAGGACCAAAAATAAAAATAATAAAATAACATAAGTGTCTTGACTTTCCCACCAGGTTGTGAATTCCTAGAGAAGAGGGTCTAAATATTTATTCCTCCTTCTTGCCTCACAATGAAGGATGATATTCGAAATAGTTAATATATGAGGCTAAGGCGGGAGGATTACAAGTTGGAAGCCAGCCTCAGCAAATTTGCAAGGTATGAAGCATCTTAGTGAGATCCTGTCTCAAAATAAAAAATAAAAAAGGTTGGGGGGATGTAGATTAAACAGTAAGGAAGCCCTGGATTGAACCCCTAGTACAAACAACAACAACAACAACAACAAAGGTTTAACATCCAGTACAGCAAAGGCCCAACTAATTCAAGTGGACCTAGGTCTTAAGTAATTCTTATGTCCACACTAGTGTGTATAGCTGAATGTTTGTTCTCATGGAGAAGGTATCCAATAAACAATGGTTGACTTGAATTTCATTGTCTTAGTAGTCCTGGCTTTGACATATAATAAACTTATCTTAGAAGTAAGGTGGCTTTTCTTGCCAAAATATGATCATAATCCTTTTTTCCTTCTTGATCTAGATTCAATAGGAGTTTGTGAATAACTCTGAAGAGCTTTGCAAGAAACAGGACACTCCATACCTATGTTATCCAATATGGTAATCACAAACCACATGCCAGATAAAATATCAGATTCCCAGTTAAATTTGAATTTCAGATAAAAAAGAATAGTATGATTGTGTTGTAGTATAATTGTAGCATAATTGTGTTGCTTGGGGTTTTCTTAAACTACAAAATTATCTGTTGAGTATCTGTAATTTATTTATTATTATTATTAATTAATTTATTATTATTATTTTTTTGCAGTACTGGGGATTGAACTTAGGGTTGCTCTACCCTTGTGTTACAACCTACTCTTTTTTATTATTTTAAAAAATTTTTTTTAGTTGTAGGTGGACATAATACTTTTATTTTATTTACTTATTTTTAGGTGGTGCTGAGGATCAAACCCAGTGCCTCACACATGCTAGGCAAGCCCTCTACCACTGAGCTACAACTGCAGCCCCTATTTATTTATTTATTTTTGAGACAAAAATCTTGCTGAGTTGCTGAGACTGGCCTCAAACTTGAGATCCTCAGGAAAAACCAGGAGTAGGAGGGTAGATTATGAACTGAAACTGAATCCCATGCATGTATGAGTTTGTTAGGATGAACCAAACTAATACACATAACTATATAGTTCTAATTTAAAAAAAATAAAAACAAAACAGACTTGAGATCCTTCTGTCTCAGCCTCTCATGTTGCTGGGATTACAAGTGTGTGCCACCAAGCTGGCTTATAATTGATATTTAATTGTGCACTCTGTACTTATTTGTTAAAACTGGTAATTCTATGCGCATGACTATTCTGATTTAAATTAATTAAAATAACATCTCCTAGTTACTTTTTTTTTTATCCTTGGTCTTGCACTATGTTGCCCAGGCTGCTTCAAATTCTTGGACTCAAGGGATTCTGCTTCAGCCTCCAGAGTAGATGAAGCTACAGATGTGCCACTGAGCCCAGCTGAGTCCCCATCTTTTTTTTTTTCCAGTGATGGGGATCCAATCCAAGATCCACAGATGCTAGGCAAGTACTCTCAGAGTTACCCCCTTAGCTCTTTAGTTATCATCTTGAATAGCACAGATACAGAACATTTCCATCATCAAAGAAAATTCCACTGGACATCTCTTTGGCTAAGCAAAAGTATTGTGTATTTCACAGGTTTTAAAAAATTATATTTGGAACTGTGAAATTTGCAGCAAACCCCAGAATGCACCCTCTGACATAGCTAATAAGCCAGTCTTCCTGTTCTGGTGGTTACTCTTACTGGATATGCAAAGTATTTGATTAAAAGGTAAAAGCAACTTTGTTCCAGATAAATTAGTTGATAGGAGACAAACAGCTCTTGCAGATGTACATTGGTGGAGGAAATAGTTCTGCTTTCTTCAGAGACTACCAGGAAATAAGCTAGCTATCAATGACATTTTAAAAGGTCTTCAATGAGAAGTGTGTTAGTTATTAGTATTATCATTCAAAAATTTTCTTAATAATCAGAAAGCATCATCAACTAGACTATCTGGTTGTAACTCATTGTTGTTAATGAACTTGGTAAACAGTACTGCCTCCCTTAATTAGCCTTTTGGGAGCAATCATGTTTTGAATTGCCTACCTGCAGTCCTGGGAGTCTTGCAAGAAACAGGAATAGTTTAATCTCTAGCCGAGATATGTGTCAAAAGCTGATTTCTATACATGACTTGGAGAATCTTAAGTAGAAACTGGCAGACATGCCAAATGTGACCAGCTGAAGTGTGTGAAGACTATATTAGCATCAAAGGCATAAATCATAAAGGAAATGATTGATAAACTTGGCACAAATGTATTAAAATGTTATATATCAGAAAGGTATGATGGGCTGGGGATATGGCTCAAGCCGTAGCGCGCTTGCCTGGCATGTGTGCGGCCTGGGTTCGATCCTCAGCTCCACATACAAACAAAGATGTTGTGTCCGCCAAGAACTAAAAAATAAATATTAAAGAAAAAAAAAGGTATGAAAAGCAAAATAAAGGCAGATGACTTAAATTTTTAAAAAATTCTACATGAGGCATAGTTGGCACTGTATAAATAAACATGGCAAAATGTTTGACTTTAGGACTAATCAAGAACTGCAGATTAAAATAACAGTGACATACCACTTTTATCTGTTGGCTTGGCAACAGTAAAAAATATATATATAAAACAGTGCTGGAATTACTGAGGGGAAATGTGTAATATTACACACTTTTGATGGGAGAAAAAAGTGGGATAAGCTTTTTGGTGGGCAGGTTGATAACATGTAAAAAAATAACTTTCCCTACCCACCCCCATTTTTATAGGACTGGGGATCAAGCCCAGGTCCTCACACATGCTACAGAAGGGCTCTACCACTGAGCTATTACTCCCAGCCCCATGGCTAAAATCTTTGACAGAGCAATTTCATTTCTAGGAAATTATTCCAAGAAAATGTTACAAATTCTCAAACTTCTGTGTATAATGGCAATGTAGATGATGTGTGTTTTTTGTTTGTTGGATCCTCTTTCTAGATGTACACTCCTAACCTTGATGGTTGGTCCAAAACAGATGTGGAAGGAATGTACATCAGGCCACTCTTTCTTTCACAGGGTTAAGTTGAAAATGGAAAAAGGAGTTGCTCTTGGCTTTCTGGCTGTAAGGTAGGGATTCTAGAACTAAGAAATAAATGACACGGAAAGACAGAAAGTGTTCTGGTATAATTTGAGCTGATTGATGTGGTTAACCTGATGGCCAGTGTACTTTCTTCCTTTCTATGGTTATTATGAAAACCAATTAAATCTATCTTTTTGCTAAACACAGTATGATTGTAGACTTCTACTTGTGTCGAAGACAGAATAACAATAACCAAATTTATCCAGCCACTTGAAATGACTACAAACATGGAAAAATATTTTTCAATGTTTCTTTGTTACTGTTGATGTTGTATTGTTATTATTAGTGCTTGGGATTGAATGCAGGGATTTGTGTATGCTATGCATGCTCCTATCATTAAGTTACATCCCCAGCTCCCATATATATATAGAGAGAGGCACACAGTCTAACTATAATGTTATATATATAAAATAATGACTTTTAAAAATGACATTGGACATCAGACAATAACCCCCAAAGATGGGAAGCAAATGAGGTAAGCATTATGATTGTCCAGTTTACTGCCTGGAGAGTTTCTAGGTGGTGGCAAAAGGCAGAACTTTATAGTAGAGTCTGGCAGATTCCCTGAGATGAGGAGATGGAGCTGAGAGTCCAGGGAAACCCAAATAGCTAAGGTTTACAGGGTAGAATAACAGGAGAGATCTGCACAGAGAGAGAAAAAAAGACTAGCAGCAACCAAATTGAAAGATCTTCAGAGGGTCCTCATTGGGTATTCAGCAGAGTATTCAAGAACTCATGAATGTATGATACTACTCCAAGTCAGAGAAAGAACCACCTGAAAAATCATGGAAACAATAGCTACAACTCACGTGGGGCCAGAAGTGGTGGCTGTTTCCACCTGCCAGATCAGTACTCCTATCATTCACAGAGCATTAGGTAAAATATTCAGAAGGGTCTTGCCTCGGTTGTGGGACAAAATTGGCACTAGACTAAATGTTGCTCTATTTCTGTCAAGCAAATCTTAACCCCACCCCCACAAGATCAAATTGAGTTTTTTTTTAAATAAAGAACTAATATAATTTGTTGTTATTATTATGTTATTATTATTGGTACTAGGAATTGAATCCAGGGGTTCTCTACCACTGAACCACAGCCTTTTTTTTATTTTTAATTTTGAGACACAGTCTAAGTTGCTGATGCTGGCCTGTAATTAGGAATTCTCTTGCCTCTGCCTCCCAACCTATCAGGTTGCTAGGGTTATAGGCATGCACTACCACACCTGGCTCTATAATTTATTTTTTTAAAACCACCAAGACCCCTTAGTAAAAATGAAAAGACACAATTAGGCAATTATAAATAGGATATGCATATAAGAAATGGTATACAATTTCACAAGTAAATAAAAGTACAAATTAAAGAATCAGGACACAACCTTTCACTTACCAAATTAGCGAAGTTGTAAAACCTGAAGTTTCCTGCAGATGTGAATGGGTTGGGAAGGGGAATGCTTGGTCAGGTTGGTGGGACAATTGACTGGTCTGAGAAAAGCAAGATCTTAGAGGATCAAACTATTTCCAAATAACTATGTCCCAGAACAAACTCAAGAATGCCAGTGGATGTGGGGCTGGGCTTACAGCTCAGTGACAGAGTGCTTGCTTAGCATGTGTGAGGCACTGGGTTTGATCCTTAGCAGCACATAAAATAAAGGCATTCTATCCATCTACAACTTAAAAAAAAAAAAAAGAAGAATACCAGTGAGCCAGTATGGTAGTGCTCACCTATAATCCCAGCAACTCTGGAGGCTGAGGCAAAAGGATCACAAGTTCAAGGCCAGTCTGGACAACTTAGTGAGACCCTGTTTCAAAATAAAAAATATAAAGGACTGGGGATGTGGCTCAGTGATAGAGCACCCCTGGGTTCAATCCTCAATACTCTTCCCAACCCCACCCTCCAAAAAATGTAAAAGAGAAAAAATACTAAGTGGACTACGAAAATATCTAGTCCCTTTCAAAATAAATTCACAATGAATGTTATTAAATACAAAATTACTGAGCACATAAACAGGAAACTATGACCTATAATGAGGCAAGTAATTAGTCAAACTCAGAACTGATGGGGATATTAGATTTAGTAGGCAAGGACATTAAAATAGTTATTATAATTCTATTCTACAGGTTCAAAATGCTAGAGGAAAGATTAAATAGAGACATGAAAGAAGTTTATCCATATTTTAGTATTTACTCGTACTGCATTCTTTTAGTGCCCAAATAATATTCAATTGTATGGATTTACCATGTTGCATATCCATTCATTAGTTGATGGATTTTGGGGTTGTTTCCGTTTGGGGGCTATTAAGAATAATGTTGCTATGAGCTTTCATGTACTGGTTTTTGCATGGATATGTATGTGTTGTTATTTCCCTTGGGTATATATCTTGGAGTGGAATTGCTGGATCCAGCTAGGCTTGCTGGAACTGGATGGTAAACCTGTGTTTAACATTTTGAGGAAGTACCAAACTGTTCTCCAAACCAGCTATACCACTTTACATTCCACCAATAGTGAATGAGGGCTCTAATTTCCCCCCATCCTCACCAATATTTGTTATTATTACCTTTCCTTTTGATTATAGTCATCCCAGTGGATGAATAGTACCTCATTGTGGTTTTGACTTTGATTTCACAGATGGCTAATGCTATTTAGCAATCTTTTCATGCACTAATTGGTCTTTGTATATTTTTTGTTGGGAAATGTCTATTTATATCCTTAGCCTATTTTAAAATAGGAGAATCTGTCTCCCCTACTCACCATTGGTATTGAGGATTAAACCCAGTGGTACTCTACCACTGAAATACATCCCCAGCCCTTTGTAATTTTTATTTTGAGGCAGTGTTTTATGGTTTTAGCTCTTACATTTAGGTCTATAATCCATTTTGAGATTGTGCTCGTTTCATTGATTTGCCGATGGCTATCTAATTGCACCAACACCAATTGTCAAAAAGATAAATCTTTCCCCATTCAATTTACTCTTCACCTTTCCTGAAAATCAATTGGATCACAAATATGAGGAATTGTTTCTGGACTCTCAATTCTATTCCTTTCATGTATAGATTGATCCTTATGCCAGTACCACACTCCCTTGATTACTGTAGCTTTGTAGTATGTTTTGAAATCAGGAAGTGTGCTTCAACTTAGTTGTTGTCAAGATTGTGTTGACTATTCCCTTGAAATTCCACACTAATTTTAGTGTCAGCTTGTCAACTTTAGCAAAGAAGCCAGCTGGGATTTTGATAGGATCATTCTGAATCTGGACAATATCTTCATTTTATTTTTTTATGTGGTGCTGAGAATCGAACCCGGTGCCTCATGCATGCTAGGTGAGCGTGCTACCACTTGAGCCACATCCCCAGCCCTTTTTTTTTTTTTTTTTTAATTTGAGACAAGATCTTGCTAAATCACTGAGGGTCTCACTAAATTGTCAAGGCTGAACTTAAACTTGTAATCCTCTTGCTTCAGTGTTTGGAGTTGCTGGCATTATAAACATGTGCCACCATGTCTAGCTTTTTTTTTTTTTTTAAGTTTTTAAGTATGAGTTTTGTCTTTCTTCTTCTTCTTCTCCTTCTCCTCTTCTACCGCCCCCTTCCCCTCCCCCTCCTCTTCCTTCTCTTTCTCCTTCTATCAGGTATTGAACTCAAGGGTGCTTAACTACTGAGCTACATCCCAGACCTTTTTATTTTTTGAGACAGAGCCTTGCTAGATTGCTTACAGCCTTGCTAAATTGCTGAGGCTGCCTTCAAACCTATGATACTCCTGCCTCAGCCTCCCAAGTTGCTGGGTTTACAGGTGTGTACCACCATGTCTGGCAGTTTTGTCCTCATGTTAAATGTATTCCTAAGTATTTTGTTCTTTTTTATGCTATTGTAAATGGAATTATTTCTGAATTTCATTTTTGGTTTGCTTATTGCTACTGCACAGAATATTTTTCCCCTGGTGCTAGGAATCAACTCAGGGCCTCACTAGTTCTAGGCAAGCAATCTTCATTCTCAGTTACATCCCCAGCCCACATCTGATTTTTGTATATCAATTTCTATTTTGTTAAATTGCTAAGCTTACTGCTTTTACTTCTAATAATTTTTCCAGTGACTTTCTTAGGATTTTCTACATACAATATTATGCCATCTATAAATAGACATAGTTTTACTTCTTCCTTTCCAATTCTTTCTGTGTAATTGCCCTGGCTTGAACCTCTAGTACAACGTTGAATATAACTGTCACAAGCAAACATTCCCCCTTGTTCCAGGTCTTAGGTGAAAGAACTCAGTCTCTTACCATTAAATATAATATTCTATGGGTTTGTTATTTTTTAAATTAATAATTTTGCTAATTCCATCCTGTTACTTCATGAATAACCCATATTTATGAGTCTTTCGATTGCTCGTTGTTTATTCATAATGACTAGAGAAAGTTTTGTCTTCTGAATGTGATGTGCATACACCCACACCCAGCTACAAGTTTGTTTCCATCTCATCCTGGAAGTAACAAAGAAAAAAAAGATATTCTGATCTAACACTAAACTTCTACAAGTCTATATTAGGCTTAATGCAAATTTGATGAAGGCATAACATAGTTTTTATAATCCCTTTAATAGCTTTTTGGATTCTCATAATGCCTTGTATACAGTAAGTTCTTAATATGTATTGTGTTGTTGTGGGTTAATTGATAATAGGAAAGGGATAACAGAAAAATAAAATCAAAAAATAATCTAAAATTCTAATTTTAGCCAATTATCCCAGCATCCTTCCCTGTAATTTTCTCCCCTAAGCTTCTTTTTCCTTTTATCTCCTTTTATGTAACAAATAAACAGCTCTAAAAGATGGGGAGGCTTAGAGGACATAAAGAAAGGTCTGGGGATGTGGCTCAAGCGGTAGCGCGCTTGCCTGGCATGCGTGCGGCCCGGGTTCGATCCTCAGCACCACATACAAACAAAGATGTTGTGTCCGCCGAAAATTAAAAATAAATAAATATATTAAAATTGAAAAAAAAAAAAAAAAAAAAAAAAAAAAAAGAAAGGTCTGAATAGTTCATTTGAACCTGAATAACGAATGGGAGCTGGTATACAATATTGTGAATCCTTATCACCACAAAAATTCCCCAGAGCCTGAAGTCTTTTAATCTTCAAACATTTGCCCTTTTAAAAAAGCAATACTGTAGCTTTAAAAGCCTAGCTAGTGGAAGAATGTCAGGATCTTAGGCAAATAATTTTGTTTCCTTAGGCCACAGTTTCCTCTTCTATTCTTAAAAAGGGGGTGGGGATGGGGAAAAGGGCTAGATTATCTTTAAGGGCTCTTCAGGTTTCTTCTAAGACACTATTTAAAGTCATTTTTTTCTATAGTAAGTTACTATTTTTATACACTCCATTGAACATAACCAAAAAAAAAAAATCCAACCAATCAATAAAAAAAAAAAAAACACAAGGTAGAGAAAAACACTTCTGATTCTTACTTGGGGATATGATGCTAAGGAATCTGGCCAACAACGATAAAGATGAAGGAATGACAGATGCTAAGAGTTAAAAGAGTCCTTAGTGGTCACAGATTCCAACCTATTATCCTATTTGGAAATTTCCCTTCATATCAGTGACCCAGGATCAGTCATCAGCTTCTGCCTGAACATTTCCTGTTACAAGTTGTTCACTGGCTCACACCACAGTGGATTCCAATTTAGGGCAGCTTTAATCATTAGCAAGTTCTTGCTTACATTAAGCTGAAATCTGTCTCCTTGTAACTTCTACCCTTCTGCCCTTTGGAGTCATATAGAATAAGTCTAATCCAGTTTACACACACACAACTCCTTCAGGTATTTGAAGAATGCCATCATGTCCTCAATATGAATTTTCTTATCCATGCTGTTTCCCAGGTTTCTTCAACTGTTTTCACAGAAATGATTTCCAGGTTTTTGTCATCCATCCTGGGAAATACTGACACGTTGTTTTGAAAATATCTTCCTTAAAAATAATGCTCAGAACTGAATACCATACTATAGTTTAGTGATTCTTGAGAGTTTTTTTTTTCTTCTTTTTTGTAGTTGTTTTTTTGGTGGAGGAGGGTTCAAACACACCTTTGGACATCAAATGAAAACTATGCACCCTTCCTCTAAAAGAATGTAGACCCCAAATTCTTCTCTTACTTAGGTGATTCAGGGAGCTAGACTCCAGTTATTAAATAGTATTTATAAAGTATAATGAGTCTATCACCTATCTTAATTTAATATTTGATAATATCTAAGGTTTCTTTTATCCCAGGGTTATTTATTTGATTATTTGGTTTATTAATTTTGACAAATGATGATCCACCTTTTTCCCTTTCTCCCTCTCTCCCTCTCTTTCTTTATGGTTGTTTTTGATTGACAGTGAAATATCTTCAAATCTTATTTGTGCAAATGATTACTTAAATATAGCTTAAGACTATATTTCTCTCCCTAAAATTTTATTTGGGTCATTTAAGCTCATTGTTTAGCCCTAATCAGATCCTTTAAAACTTTGGTTTGATGCTCATGGTTTTAATCACTCATCTCTCCAAACCATGTGATCTGAAAATGTAGTTGGTGTTTCTTTTAGTGTTTGTTGAAGCTGTTGATTAAAATGTTGAGCAGTACAAGACAAGAACAGAGTTTCATGGCATGTGTCTGAGGACCTCCCTCTGATATAGTAACCATACATTTAATATATATATATATATATATATATATATATATATATATATAACATATATAAATATTTATATTTATCTTACAGTTCTTTTGTGTGTGTGGTGGGGGATGGAACTCAGGGTCTCATGCATGCTTATCAAGTGCTGTACCACTGAGCTACACCCAGTCCCAGCTCATGTATCTCTATCTTGTCCACAAAAATATCCTAAAGGACACTGTAATAAGCTTTGATAAAAATAAAAGGATACTGTGACTTACAGCATTTGCTTGATTTAGCAGGTGAGTATTTCATCAGAAAAGGAAATGAAGATTATTACAAGAAATTAGTTCTAGGTTTGAGACATATACTTATCATTTTATGCAACAGTTGTACTTCTAAGATTTTTGTAAATAATCATTGTATCATATCATATATATGTGTTATTTATTATTACATTAATAATAAATAACACATATATAGAGCTTATGAATGGTGAAGGACTATTATAAAGATTTATATCTGCTTACTTATTTAGCCTAATAACCCAGTGAGGTGGGTCCTATTATCATCCCCATGTTATGAATAAGGCAAAAGGCTCAGGGAATTTAAGGAACATGAGGAAGTTAAATAGGTGTTGAGTGACAGAACCAGAGTTTGAACCCACATAGTTTCTCTAGAGGATTCATGTTCATATATAGTCTTGTATTTTAAAAATCCCAGGTTCAGTGTAGGGAACATTGAACCCTTGATAATCATCTGCAAGCATAGTTGCTTCTCTTAGGATTTCTACCCTGGTTCCACACTATGTTTCAGTAGAAGAGAATAAATAGAACACTTTCAGTACTTGCTATTTGCCCAGCAAAGTAGACTTTAAGATAAGCAAGCTGGGGGTCAGGGGTGTAGCTCGGTGGTAGAACATATCCTTAGCATGCACAAAGTCTTGGGTTCGATCCTCAACACCCCCACACCGCTACACACACACACAGAAAAAAGATAGGCAAGTTTCTTTTTACCAATATATATAAGTGGAAACAAATCCCAAGATTCACTAACATGAAGTGGCTTGGGTTTAGCTAGAAGTTACATTT